GGGAATGTACGAGCTGTGCTCACATGAACTTATCGTGATAAGCTCTTGTTATCCAAATGTCTTTTGTACAGGCGTATCGTTTACAGTTGTCATATATACTCTTTATTTTAAGTAATTTTTTTTTCATAAATCAGTCTAATTTTTTTCGTGATCGTGATGCTCTATTTTGAATATTCGTTACGATCAAATCAAGTGTGGATGCGAAAATTCATCAAGCAATTATTTTTATTTTGACAACTTTCGTATTAGTAGGCAGTTATAACATAGGTTTAGACCATGGTCTTACTCGAATCAGCTAAGATTATTTGAGGTCAAAAAACTCGAATTACAAACCAGAATTTTAAATTCACTATGAAATAAACGAAGGATTCGCTACTGCATGTTAAATATAAGTGGTCACTGCACGCGAATTTCGCATTATAAAAATGTCAATTTTGAGCATTGGATGGGGAAGGTGAGAGAAGAAAAACTTACTGATGCATCTCCATTTACATTTCTTCAAAGTCAAGTATGAAATAAATGGTGATGAGACATTAGTGATTCCCAACAAAACAAATTTTATTTAGATTAAAAGAACGGCGTTATACCGGTAACATATTTGAGCTTGGCAATTCTTTGGCGTTTGCTTTGAAGACCTCAATTTTAATTGTCTGAGCACTTCCTGCATTAAATCGTAAAGAGAAGTTAAATTGTAGGCGAATTCTTATGATTTTGAATTTTAAGAATAGTGATCAAAACACATTTTATATGTTTGATTTACCCTGAAATAAGGCAGGAACATTATCTGCTCTCCAAATATTCCGCTTATAGCTAATTCAAACACTTACGTTCAACGAACTGTGCCGTTTCACCGGTACAACTTAAACATCTGAGTTTCCATAGTAGGAATAAGTGTCCTTTTAAAATGTTTTAACTCGTCTGCACAATAATTGTATTGCCAGATCCTGACTCACTAACCAGGGAAAAGCCTATCGCGCTCCAGAACTGGGGTACAGTCAAATCGAAAGTGGACCTCGATTCGCGATTGAGGTATCCAATCGACTAAACCAAATTCAAAGCATGATGGTGCACTGCTGCCAGCAAAGATTCTGGGCAAATCTCTGCTGGATTGCTTTAAGTTGCACAGAAACAAAAATTGAAAGACATTTACTAATTATTGAAGAGGTCCATTTGAAATTAAATTGCAACATTTGGCACTTTTGCATCCATTTGAATATACCGGAAGATGCGATTTTTATTTACCTTGTAGACTAATTTTACAAATGAGTTTTAGGAATTGAAGTCGGTTACAGGATCGGACATTAATGTGATTTGTTTTACCCGACTAATTGTTAATGGCTAATTCAGATAGGTTTCTGTGGCTTCGGTTTCCCGATGGATGTGAGTAGCACTGGTTGTTTAGTTGCTTGTTGTCTTCTCTGTGGTTGTTGCAATATGAATCTGTTTGATAGTCGTTTTGTTACATAAATTCGCCCATTGAAGTATATTTACACAAGTCTCATGCATACAAATGCTGCTAATGATATCATACCGGGTACATGGCTTAATTTAGAGAAACATAGGACGGTGGAGTAATGGGTGAATTTACAGTTGTGTTACCTTACACTTGAAAATTGAGGTTGACTTCTTCTCCTATTAAAAATAGAAGTATTTGTGTAAAACTGACCGCTTATGAATTGAGCTGGATCAGTAATCATGCCTGTGATATCTGTTCAATTACCAAAGGTCTAATGCCTTGTAAGGTAGCGTAGCACTTTTTCTCAATTTAAGGACTCAAGCTTTAGTCGATCAAAAACGAGAAAAAGTCAATTAGCTTCGCCAGATAAGGTTACATTCTAACTTAAACCCTATTTGCTTTATTGCAAATTTTGTGTAAATTTGTTAAACAAAAATTCTTTCAGTCCTCAGGTAGCTCAACTTCGCCTTCAGTCTCATCTTCGGATGAGAATGGAAAGAGCGATTTGGTAACGGCGTCATCCAAGATGGAAGAGGGAAAAATTCCCCGACAGTACCGCCATGGTATTCGACATTCTTCATCGCACGATCGGTCGTCGTCATTCCGGTGGGTATATGGCGCATACTAAATGGTGTTTTTCGTGTTTTTGTTTTTCGTTCTTGGTGTCGGAACTTGGTCGTCCTTATATTGAAGTTTGTCCTCTTTGTACTTGATGTTACATTCATGCTCTTGTACTCATTGCGGTTCACCCTTAACGGCTGATTTAAGCATAAATATGTAAATGCTTCCTGTATATTGCCATGGCATTCCCGCTTGCTTAGAGCTGGGTCGTGCCTGACGAAGAACCAGTTCTTTTACTAATGCTCCATAATTTGTTACTTTATGTTCGTAAAATATATATATTAATTTCCCTTTATTTTTGAAGCTGCGTTAATGATGTTAATTCCATTCAACACGCTATTTGTTGTCAGTTATGCTGCATGTTGATTTACTCTATTTAGAATCTCGTAAAAATATCTAGACCTCATTCTTATTAGTACATCCGTGTTATGTGGTATAAAGTGACGCTTGTCTTGTGCGTCCTTTGTTATTTTCTTGCCGTGGTTCTTACCCATCTGACAAAGCTGTGTTTTGTTGTTGTTCCAAATATCCAGTAATCGCTCTGTTTAGCTCCAAACGTGGTTCTGAAAGTCGACGCGAGCGTCGCAGCCGAAGCCGCAGTCGCAGTCATGGTCGAAGATCCCATTGGAGAAGGGATCACAGCCGCGAGCACCGACATGTGCGCCACCATCGGAGACATCGAAGTCGTAGTCATGAGGAAGCTCGACGAAGAAGGCGTAGGGACGAAAGAAGACGGAGGAGGTCATCGTCATCGTCCTCGTCATCTTCCTGCCAAAGAAGCCGTCATTCATCAAAACGTGAAAAGGAAAGAGAAACTGGTTTTTCCCGAAAGATCATCGGTTCACGTTCCGAACTAGCAAAGGTAGGTATAAGTATTGGTTGCGACTTTGAGTCCATATTTGTTTCGATCCATGGAAATCATCGTATTTTCATCAAAATTATGTTGCCACAATGTACCTAAAATAATCTTCCGTTTATATTATTGCCCTTGGTTCACTAGAACAGTGTTCAACCTTATTTCATACATGCCTGAATAGTTGGCTCACTCTCTGAACTGGGCTCTAACCAAAGCTGTATTTGTTTCTCTATAGGCTCAGGAGGCTGTAAAGCCAGTGGATCCCATCGCTGCAAAGATAGAAGCTGCCAACAAAGCCTCAGCAATTATGGCCTCAGCTATCAGACCAGGTATGACTTGCCATGTTATTATTTCTTCTAAAATTTTGACGTCTTAGGTGTTCCATAACTGCATAAAAAATTGGAAAAACAAAATAAGTCTATGCGTTTTCCGCACTTTCATGTGAAATCATTTTTTATCGGTATCGGTTTTACATTGTGGGAGAAAGTGTGGCAAACTTTAACACTGTTACAACTTCACTCGCCTCGATCAGTAGCTTAAACTTGTTAAACTCGTAGTGTTTTTAGACGGCGCAATAGTACCTAAACCTCTCAACCCTAGTGCTTTTCCGTTTGCGCAGCATTAATTTTGACGTTGTTAGATTATAAATGTAACAAATCATACATTTTTCTCGTCAACGCAGGCACAACCGGAGGGTCTACCTATAACACCACAGCTACGCCCCAGGAAGTCCTTGCTCGCCTTCAGGAGACTCAAATGGCTCAAGTTCGTGCCAAGGCAGAGGCTGCCGCTTCTGCAGCCAATTTGCCGAGATTCTACAATCCAATGTCGGTGAACGCTGCCAAACTTGCAGAGCAACAACAAAAGCGGAAACTCCTTTGGTCTAAGAAAGCCGACCCGGAGACCGAAGCGAAAGAGGTGAGAGCTTTACATGCGTACATGTTCTTTCTAATTATAAACTACCTGTGCGTATCTACTCCAAACTAACAGTGCGAGATCACTAAGGGTTTGTCCCCTTGCGCTTACATTTATTTTCAAGCGGGTACCGGCAAGCGCCTAGTGTTGCCGACCGGCGTGGAGCCTAGTCATCCCCACAGCCCCTTCACTACAACCACCAACTTGAAAGGTCTCGTGTGTGGACGTTCAGCGAGGCCCACAATGGAGCAATGTACGATAAGTCCAATTTTTAAATTCCTTAAGAACAGAGTCACTTTAGATCCCCTCTGTCAATTTCTAAAGTGCCTAAAATAAAAAATATACACATATTTTTCGCGATCTTGACCGACGCAAACTGCAAACAGGCAGTCACGCACTGAATTATCTTAAGTGTGCTTAGATAAAATGAGCACTGGGTTTCTAGTTGACACGAATGCTATTTTTGCACAAATATGAAACGGTTATGCGAAACGATGTGCCTTAACTGAAGCATTAAATGCACGAAAGGCGGCAGTGATCAGACTCGCAACGCGCAAAATTACCCGGCAAGCACTGCGTTCCCAAGGCTAACCCAAAATCTACCGGGGCACCAATACATTGGTCAGGACCAGTTCAGTATCATAATTATGGGATCAAAAGTGTAACGATCAGTTGGTCTTGTATTTGGTGCGTGGTTTTGTCTTAACCGATAATGCTTCCAATTTTTCATTTTTTGTACCGTTTAAGGAGGCGAAATCGAAAATGTGGAAAACGACTTCAATGGTTGCTGGGAAGGGTGATTCCGCTGCAGCCGCCAAGTTTCGCAAACTCATGGGGATCCACGACACCACTGCAGGTAAGACTGATGGTCGCACTTCAGACGAGGCTCTGAACCGAGCTCAAGCCCAAGCTGACCTCTTCAGGAAGCTTGAACAGGAGTACGAAATGTCGCGCACCCTAACTCACACACAACGTGGTGTCGGCCTGGGGTATTCTTCTGCAGTAACCGATTATAGTGCCTATACTGCCATGAAACAAGCAGGTGGGAGCACAAGCCAGGATGGTAGTTGAGCTGTGACGCTAGTAAATCTTATGTGTGTACATATGTGATATCTTTTTTGAGCTTAAAGAATTTCCGTATTCGTCCATCATACTTATTAATTTGGGCCAATCAGGCTCTTTGAGATGGTGCTGGTGAAAATACTCGATATTAAACAAAACTCCTCCGGTTCGTGAACTAGCGTTTGCCATTAAATTAACGGCGTGAAGTATTGTGGGACGACCGACCTGCCAGCCAAACATCCATACGCGGGCTTAACTGGCAAGAGGTCGGCACATTTTACACTAGCCAAGGCCTTTTAGAACTCTTAAACATTACTACTACATGCTTTAAGAAATCAGCTACAAATTAGTGGGCCTCTGGAAATCCTCTAACAATATTTAATTCGCAAGTTCCTCGGTAACTTCTTGCAGATGGAGCGCGGTTCGTAGTTTTAAGACCAGCGAACACAATTTAGGTAGATTAGCACTTCAAAACACGAGTTCGCTCAATATAGCCTGCCTTACCAAAACGTTTTTAAAATTGACCATCTCTTTTCTCAAGCAAGCATCGGCCTGGAAAGTGTTCCTCCAAATTGCAGTGTGCTTTCCGAACGATTTTGGTCTTCATCATGTCAATGTGTTCGATTCTAGACGTCCACCAACTTGACACCTCAACGGTTGTGGCTTATTTCCTGTCTTGTAACGCGGCAGCTCTCGATTCCACTTAAGATCACGGAAATAATTACCTGTGTGGGGTGTTCGTTGTTTGATCTTTACAATCCCTGGATATCTCAATATAAAGCATGGAATTAGTTTTAAACAGACCATGAGTTTTGCTTTGATTACTGCAAGAAATCAGACGAAATACAGGTTTGTATTTTTCAGATTTCCTATACACGAGCGTGTATGGATCCATACAAAAAGCTTGGCTTGATCTTTTCAAAAGCTTACTTCTTAAACAAACGTTTTAATCCCCTTGGAGTCCGCTTAGAAAATCGCCATCAGGCTTAAAAGTTACTTTACTTCAGTAGTATTTACAAATCAGAAACGTTATTGGGCTCCTCTGCGCTTAGCTCTTTTGTCCCTCCTTTTACCTGCATTGCCTTTTCTTCCTCGTTTCGCTGAGGTTTTAGCTTGTCCACGGAGGTCAGACTTCATTCGCCTGTCAACTAGCTTAACTTTTGCTCCACGAGGCGCAGTTCTTGAAGTATTGCGCGCTCCATCTTTAGTGTTGACTACATAATTTGTTGGTCGTCGTTTTTTCTTCAAGAGGCCCGCATTTTTGTACATTCTACAGAATAAACACATATAAACGTATAGTGGTTTTAGAACATTCCTTATTGAACTGTAACCCCATTTCCGATTGCAATTTCCTACTATAAACCCTTAATAACAATCTACAGACTTTTTAAGGTAATTTGATACTACTACCTTGTCCGTACTTGAATTTCAATCTACAAGTCAGTTAAAAACGCAGTGAATGAACGAGATCAGGGGACTTCCAGAACACGAGTCCAATCAGAAAAGGTGCTTTTGTACTGCTGTTTAGCGACAATATAAATGGTTCTACTTTTCGGACGCCTTGAGGTCCAACTGATTTCCGAAAAACATTAGGGATACCATTACTTACGATTTAATCTTACTCCAGGCCTCTCTTTCTGTGAGGTCGTCTGGCAGGTTTTCGGCCCGTTTGCGGACAGAAGAGAGGCGTTTGGAAAGTTTTATCCTCTTGCGCGCCTTTGCCTCTTCTGCTTTCTTCAGTGTCTTTCCTTGAATTGGTCTGGTAGCTAGCCCCGTTGTCTGTAAAAAGAGTTACCGATAGCTTTGCCAAATAAAGTGCTTAGCCAAATCAGTTTTTCATCGTAAAAAGACATGTCACTGATGGGTGAAATTCTGGAATTAGAGATCAAACTAGTGGATAAAAGTTGAGTGCATAAACTGAACTTCCTAATTTACAGGGACAATGCCATTTGCAGTTTTTCGTGAGTATTGTGTTGTCTTGATCTTAGTAACTTTGGATGGATCAAGCAGAAGCCCCATTTAGTTTAAGCATACTTAAAGTTATTTTGCATGGTTCTGTCGATGTGCCTAAAAATACGTTAAAACGCGTGTGAGTCATGCCCGTTGGATTAGGTTATTGCAGAAGGTAGTCGAAGATGCACAGAAGCATGCGAGCGTGCACCATCCTGACGAGTTCCCTATAGCTGAATCGTGGACCGGTAGTCTGAATCGAAATATAGAAAAAAAAACAATCTGTAATGAGCGCTTACGTCCTCCACGGGAGGTGCCTTTCGCATGTGCTTTCGTTCGTCTTCTGCAAACCATTCAGGTAGGCTGGATTCGTCTTCAAAAAAGCGATAGCGATGAAAATTCCACTCGAGAAGGTCACGCCGACTCTTTGCCGATTGTATTAGCTTTGTGGCCAAAGCCCTTTCTTCAGCAGTCAAAGGTCTTCGAAGACGCCTCATTCTTTTTTGCCTTTTCGTCACAACTAAAATGAGTCGTTTTTAGGCCGAGCAAGTTAATCTACATTCAGGCAATTCACTATGAAGAGCTCGCAGAGTTGAAAGTCTACGTTCGCTGTCGCTATAGTAACCTGCTGTTTACGTTTCATCAATTGTTTCACCGACGCGCTAAGCAATTAAGATGCTAAAACAAGCGTCGAAATCCATTAGTCCCCACGTTACCTGGCACGAATTAAACCATGGCCAAAACGTGCGATGGAATGTCTGTTTCACTCATACATAATTGAATACAAAGACTTGGTGTACTGCCTCAAATCACCTGCGTCCTCTCTGACGCACAATCCAGTTACAACGGAAAGACAGGACTCACGTGGGTGGACCTCCTCTTCGTCGCTGGAAGGCACATCTGGCTGTGATTCATCGGTTTTATTTTTTCTTACGGGACTTGAGGGGTCATCTGCGAACGAAACGCGTTTCCTAATTCCGACTTTAGCATTATCCTGCCATTTTACATCCTCCTCGTCGCCTGACTCGTCGGCATCCATCAGTCGCTATAATTGCATATGAAATTAGCCATCATAAATACATATTACGTGGTGCAAAGAATACCCCATTACAAGCACTCTACATTAGGGAGTATGTGATCAATTTCAGTTAGCTGAAATCACAATAGAGAGTCATTCAGGGGCCTTGGCTAACAATCTGGGAGAAACGGTTAGGTTCACGCTTCGTATGAGTGACTACGGAAACTCGGCAAAATCTGAATGCGGTGATATTCACCCCTTGAAAGGCTCTTAGCAAGTGGAAATGCACACTATTGCGGCTGGCTACGAGTTGTGTAACATATCGACTTGATATAAACGAAACAGGTACAAGGAAATAGACATTTATTCACCAGTAAGTATTAAGGTCCCAGATAAAATCCTTACCTACATCATTATTATGCAAAGGAGAGTTAAATTAGGTTAATAAAGGAGAACGAAAATCAACGTATTTTTAACATCACCACTCGAATAGATTTTTTCCGGACACGAACAATCCTCCGTGTCCGTACTACTTGCAATGACCTACCTTAAGTTCAGCTGAATGACACCACGACTCGATTTTCCGACTTTTCTTAGTCTCTTCATCCTCAGGGTCCAGATCGGTAAGAAGGGAGACATGGTTTTTTGTTTTAAGCGAATCCGCGTTAGCCAGTGCCTCAGCGTACATATCGTCATCTATCCGACCGCCCCCGAAGCTGTCATCGTCAGACTCAAGAGAACCAGAGTTATCACCATCATCATCACTTTCGAAAACGAGGTTTTCTCGAGTATCTTCGTCGTCACTTGAACTTAAATAAAGGTCATCGCGCCCTTGTGGGTTGATGGCTAGGTGAAATAGGATTTGACACGTACGAAAATGAGTGCCTTACACCCAAGCTAAGATCAAAATGGCCTTAAACAAGACAGAAAGAATAGATATTTTACGAAGCAACAATAATCTTATAATAATACTCGAAAAAACAGCAAATTCTAAAGTATTTCTCTTGGAGGAACCTTTAACTAAAATGAGTGTAAATTGGGTTTGCCTGAGTAAAGTGCGGTTTCCGAGTATATCAAATATTGAGAAAAAATAAGGTTGTTTAATGATATACTATTCAGAATAAGCTGCTCACGTCTAGTTGATTCAAGAGCGCCAAGGTCAATTTCGTGTTCCGCATTTCTATCAAAGTGCAGATACTCGCCACCCTCAACAGCGCGTCGGAAGTCGTCGGCTCTTTTGCGTAGAAGTCTCCGTTTAAGGGCCTTCTCTTCATTCAGAACGAGTAGATCGGACGCCGAATGACCAGTCTCAGCGATTAGTCGTGCCTCTTCTCTTTCCAAGCGTTTGAGATCGCGACCACCAATAGAAGCTAAAGAGAAGAGTTCGCCAGCACTATTTTCCTCAATCACATCTCCTGGGTGCTCCATCTTCAGGACGATGCGTTCTGCAATTTTGCGCCTGGCCTTACGAATGGTCTTGAGGCGCCTTGAAAAAGATAAATTTATCCAATTTAGGTCGGGTGCAAAAGAGATCGGGATTGGCTGATCATCACTAAGGAGGTCACGAATATGCTGACACGGAACCTTAGGATCGCGTCGGTAAAAACACCCCATATTTAACTATATCTGCATGACTCTTAGTTCAAAGTATGAAATTATTTGAAACAATAAAGCTGTTTAATGCTCAGGTGGAAAGTCGATCTAGAGGACGCACTAAAGACCATGAACGCAATCTGCAGTGCCGCCTTGGTAACGTCAATAAATGATTAAAAGTATAAAATTGCTCAACCAACACGTTCCCCACCAGGTAAACTCACTTTTTAGTAGCTTTTTGTTCATCTTTCAAAAGACGTTCGACCTCACGTTGAACTTCTTCTTCCTCATCAGCAGATCTGTTCGCTGTTTCTTCTTTTTTCTCATCCCTTTACGCATAGACAGGATGTAAATGTTGAACATGAAAAGAAAAAAAATATTCAAATACATACTGTGGCTCCGTGGTTCTTTTTCCGGCATCGAGAGCAGCCAATAATTTCCGTCTCCAGGCGAGAATTGCACTATTTCATCACAGATTACATTAAAGATTAAATTACCGAATTTCAGATTTTCCAAGAACTTTAATGTCTGATAAAGACTCCCGAATAAATGAAGGTGTTAGTGGATGTTTCAAGAGATCTTCCCGATCGATGACAATCTAGATTACGTTTGTTAGTGATGCACCCGTCAGCTAACCTTATTAGCTTTTGCCAGACACTGAAGAGGATCATCTGCATTCATAAATTCTGACAGAGATGTTTCTTTGTACAATTTATCATCATCGTAACCTTCAGCTTTTCTAAAATGAAAAGATATGAATCAAGCTATAAAAAAAATATAAAATTGCATCTGTGTTGAAATATTATAAATGAACATTTACTAATCCCAAATAACACTTTAAAGCATTTACAGGCAACCTCCGTAAATTGTTCAGCGTCTAAGAAGGTTAAAACCCACTAAAGATGTGCATAAAATCAATGTATTCAACAGGATTACTGCCTTGTGAAGGAAGATATTTGAGATTACTGCACCGTCTCAAGGGCAAAATTTGCGGGCTAAATAAACAATACGTGCAAAAACGGACCATCAATAAGAGGGTGTTTTCAACTGTTAGAAACGTGGATATTTGAAAAGCCGTGTACTTTTGGGGATAAGTTAGGTGTTACCAGGATGCTTATGTTGATAGAAAATTATAGACCTAACCGACTACAATTTATCATTGAGAGGATATGAATTTTTATTTAGCACAAGCAAGTAGTCACCCAAAAGGGCTCAGAACATATAAGTGGTTTATTAAACAAAAAATAGACAAACAACAAATAAGACTAAGACGAAAAGCAGCAGAATTAAATTAAACGATCTACAATGTTTCGTAAGCATATAACTTGCAAATGTCAAGCTCACTTTCTCTTAGTAGTCTGCTTAAGGAGGGATGCAACCACTGTCTCTCGAGATTTGACAACTTCTATTTCGCCAAAGACGTGCTTTGGATCAAGGAATTTGGGGTCAATCGATGTGGGGTCCAAATAACCTTGGCCAACAAGAAAGATTTCTGCTGACTCTTGTCGAGAGGCCTCAGGTTTCAGAACCTTTACTTTACGAAAGAACTGAGACACGACCCATTTCAGTGGCTCGTAATCACGACTTCTAAATACCTTTGTTATAAACCAACCACCTTTGCGAAGGAGTTCCGTGGCCAACGAGAAGGCCTTCAAACACAAAACAGCTAGAAAATAACGTCACACGATTTAAAAAAAAATACCTTGGCTATATTCGTCTATTGTCCATGCGGTACCGACATTTGGGGCGCCATCGTGAAGAATAACGTCTGCTTTATTGTTAAGAATTGCAGCTCTCAGTAACTAAGACGATGTACTACATAACAATTAGTACCTGACGACATTTCTCAGTGGTAATATCAGCAACAATAGATTTACAATTTGGTATGGGCATTATTGGCACTAAATCAACACCAACGATTAGGCTTCCAACAGGCATCTCCTTTGCAGCTACTTGCATCCATCCACCAGGAGCTGCGCAAAGGTCGATTAAAACTTTTGATGAACCGAGAAAATTAAATCGGCGGTTCAGCTGAATTAGTTTGAATGCGGACCGAGCTCTAAAGCCTACTAAATAAAAGCGAAGCACTATGTCACCTGTCTCTTTCGCCAGAAAGTAGAATTTGTCCTTTCTACTCTTCCCGTGTTTGGACTTCTTACCCATCGTTTGAGGTCGCTATTATTCTTAAATAGAAAAAAAAGGACTAATACCCAGCAAAACAAGTCCCACACAACAAATTCAATTAAAAAAGGCAGTAAATAGTTTGCTTCAAAATTTACCGAATAGGAAAAATTCTCCAGTACAATGATAAAAAACCTTACTCAAGAAATCAATGAAAAGCGACTCCACTAAGAAATCAAATAAGCGGCGTGATTACAAAACACAAGATCACAGAGCGCGCCAAACGTGGTAAACGAAAAGAACGAAAGACATGGATTAATGTTTCGCGAAATTATATGCCATCTTTTATTCGCAAACCAAAAATAAAATTCCTGAATTATCTTAAACATAATTTACGTCAAGAGGATATTCAGGACGCATGGGCTACCATTTATTTATGCAAATGTAAGTTGATGCTAAGTTATTTGTCGACTATGTATAATGTCTCAAAACATGTTATTATCTGTTTACTCTGCCTGAATTGGAGCTCACTCTATATCTCAAAATTCATTTTTAGCGTAGAATGTTAATTGTGTAAGGTAATAGACGTCTAACTTTATATTTAATTGAAACAACGATGCTCACATTTCTTCAATAATGACACAGATGAGCTCATGTGTACCAATGATCAGCAAAGATGCGACACATGAATTTATTCATTTTTTTATAATATTCAACCATGTGAAAGTAAAAATTTAATCGTTCGACAACTACTGTTTTAGATAGATTTTTTCCTCTAATGATCCTTCCTTGTGAATGGTAACATTAAATTTTGTTTTAAAGAAAGTTGATTTTTAAACATCTTGTTAATCAATTTTTATTATGTCAAAAAATTACTCAGTATATTCTCACGAGGTCCAGTAAACCTGGAGTCGATGCCTGTTTGTGGCTCCCTTCAACTGCCAAGTGTAGGGTTAAATTATGCTACCTAGAGTTATAAACGAATTGTTTGCAACCACTTATTTTGTGGATTTAGTAACATTAAAGAAAGTAATTACTATAATTTTTTTTTAAATATTGGTTTGCACTTTAGCATAATCTCGATGAGCATACTTACGGCGTTAAAGAATATTTAAGAGAAATATGGCTAAGCTTACAAAGGCCAATGGACCTATTTATTTAGGTATATCACAGGAAGGCCTGTTAATTGCACCCCTTTTTGAATAAACGTGATCGTCCTACATGTTGCATGTACCACAGGCAATTTTGACTTGTCCAAAATATTGGACCATTTCAGCGCCAGAGGTTTTTAAACATACATTGCTACTTGGGTTCTACTTAGGCAATATATATATTAATTCGTTTCCAAAATCTGCAAAAAGAAATGAGGGAGTCTTTGTTTTGAAGACGGTCAGGAAGGCAGATTAATATCATGGAAGCCCCAGTAAGGCTAGATAAATTTTGAACTGTGGTGTAATTAAGAAGCGGGTCCCAAATTGGTCGCGATGTATGGAAAGTTCAAGGGATCAAAGAAAAACGGTTAGGATGAAATTACGTGTCGTATACACAGCGGACCAATTTGAGATGGATACCGATGAGATTCTTGTCACGAGAGTCTAGAATGTTCAATGACAAGCATTGTACAGGACTTGATGATTTAGTGAAGGATGTGAAGAGCTTCCACAGGCAAAGTGTCAGGGACATGTATTTTTCTGTAGATGATCATAATGCCTTCGGAATGACACAACAGTCTATTTGCTTCAATGAATGATGCTACCTGAAACAATCGAATTACAAATCCTATGCAATGCAACTTTTCAATGTCAAAGGAGTTTGCACGAACTGTTGAAAATGAGCTCTAATTCGATGAATAAACACCTAGAATTGAAATACACATAGAAAACTCCTTGTAGGAGCGCAATCAACCATTGCTATCTGCCCCAACACTACATCTGTCACTTCGCAAAAGCAAGCAAAAACAAAAAGCGTACAAGTGTGCAGCCTAATTCTTTGGACACTCCTTAAATAAAAGATATTGACCTCGACCCCATTTGGCAAACTCACTCGTAGGGGTGCTATTAAGATTTCATCAGAAGAAGGTGGCCATTATGACTGAGATTGAATCAAGGTTTAATTCCGCGTACGTTCCACACGAAGAGCACAATAGGTTTAGTTTCTTTCGGTGAATCCAACTAGACCTACTGCAAACTATACAGGAGCATAGAGGCCACCTTCTCGGCAAGGGAAAATTTGTTTGCCTTCTGTTAAAAATGGATGAAACGAGAAAAAAGTGCAATAAGGACTTGGTCGAAGAAGCAGGTCGACGGTTGATGTAGACGACTGCCTTGCAAGTGTCAAACTTGGATCGATGCTGTACGGTTCTGTGTACAGTTAAAAACGAATAGTAACTCCAAGGTATCTAAATCAAAACCTAAATAACACTTGACACCTCCAATGCACTAAGGTTGTCATAATATTTCGATACTCCAGGCTCTTGGTGTAAGTTAGGGTATAAAGGCGTTTCCTTGTGACAACGCTGAAAACGATTATTAACAGTTAAATTATGATTACAAAACTGCACTCAGTATAAATGTGCAAGTATTCCAGTGTATAAAAGCTGACTTCTACTGTAGTCGTCTGGACTAGCGTTATACATAGATGGAACACCCC